AATAAATAGTATTACACTTTACGATAAGTCTCCCTTTGACAGTTGTGAATATTTATAATGCAGTAATATAGTGCAATATCAATGTTAAAATATGTGTTTCTTATCGTTATTGTGCTTACAGTATAATAACTTAGTCTGAAATGTTTAATATAGCACCTTTTTTAGATGTAATATGTTTGTGAACCGATTTGTCTCATTATTTAGTAAGAAACTGCACAGTTTTGTCACTTTCTCGTCCTTAATTATTGCATAATAAACATTTATTAATAATTTATAAAGTGTTGACAAGATGAATTAATAACCTGCCTATAAACTCTTTATAAAAGGGGAGCCTTGTTGTAAAGTGGTACCAAAAAAGCTTGCACAGTAAATTCTCCTCACCAGTTTTTCATACATTTTACTGAATGTAGATAAAATATTCTCAAATACACGTGAGAAAATCCACCCATCAGTTATCAGGTGAAAGACTTTTTTACAGGATTGTTCAAATTTACCTAAGAGAAAAATTCTGTAAGCTTGATYCATTCTGGACTTTGCTATTTGACTCGTTGGCGCCTCTAGTGGTTGAACATGGAACTGCACCCACAATCATCACTCCCAGATAAGATGAGTGACAGGACGGGGGCACTTCAGAGGGCCAATCAGATTTCAGCTGGGGCCAATGCCCGTGTGGCCCCGCACCTAGAACCGCCCCTGCTTCCTGGTCTTTCTGTTGTCACCTCTCACACAGTGACTGCTGGAGATGGAAACTAGTTTTCCGAGATCCGGAAAGGGAAAAAGTTGGTAAAGAAAATCTTCTTGATGGATGGGATTTCTGTTTGTTTTGACACGTGTCATATTTACGTGTTTATAGATTCAGTTGCAGCTGAAAGAGTTCCTATAAATAAGCATTACACACAAACAGCTGACTGTAAACATCTATGTTTACATGCCGCCGTAAATTTAACGTGCTTGAAAATGATAATAATTACCGAATTAACTTGACTGAAGCTAAACTGGATACAGAAAAAGATGTATTTAAAAATGAATAAAGTGCTGGGGAAAAAAAATAGTGACCTCTGGCTGACTTTGTTAGAGATGTAAATGAAGAACCATG